GCCTTCGTAACATCACGCGTCTCCCTTTCTCCAGGTCATCTTAGGAGTCAAACATATCGCAGAAGCTTGATGCTGACGCGTTATGATCGTGTTCAAAACTATCAGAAGAGACTTTCCTACTCTAGAGAATGCTCAGTAATGTTAGGTACAGCCGGATTAACCCAGCCAGTATATTACTCGGGCAGCCAAGCTCGGGAGAAGGCATCTACTACGAAAAGGGTGAAAGAGGGATACATTTATGCTATGTCAGGGATCGCCACTTGTATTCATCTCATCGTTCCACTCATCAGCGGTTTCTCTTCAACTCGTTTGGTGGAAACCATGACGTCGCTACTCAGCTTGATCGTGAGATTCGAGTGAGCAGAGCCAAGGAGCAGAATAGACTGTGTAGGAACAACTTTCGGTATTACTGTCTACGGTATGATGTCGCTAATTCTTCTCCTTCTCCCCTTTTCTAATTTACTTCGTGTTAGCAACAACGTTGTCGCAGATAGCAAGAGTCCAATAGCTCATTTACAATTATGCCCACGGCACAGCTTCTTCGCGATCCGTGTGACCATGGAGTTCACCGGACCGTGGATCAACCGTGGTCCTACTACCTTGGTACTTATGAAGATTCGCCATCTAACTGCTCAATAACGTGCTTCACGTCTTTAAAGCGTGCGACTTGGCAAAATATCACATGACGGTCGTTGAGTGAGCTTTATTCGGGACCACCCTAGAGCCGATGATGCCTACGGTTGAAGCGATACGAAACTCACATGATCTGTCTATGCTGGTTATTGAAACACCGGTATTGCGGTTAGGCTGAGCGCTCGCGCACATCTGGTTAGGCACCTCTTTCTAACGAACTGCCTAGGTAGCTAACTTGAGCCAAGGTAGGCAAAACGATCTGTTATAATCTTACCTGTTTCCTTAATATCAGCTTGGCTGTCAGATGACAGCACCCATACCTGCAGTGCTCAAGAGTCCTAAGAGCGTTCAGCCACAGTAATGAGTTCTCGTCTCACCAAAAAGCCGTTCAAGTCCTCATCCTAGGTATCACGACCCAATACAGAGCTAGGTACGTTTCGCATACTTTCCAAATGGTATATCAAGCATAGGTCGATCAAGTGGCCGTACGGTGGCCGTCCTGTGGGCGGATGGATCCAAGATCTTGACACACGGAACTTTATGCAAGGGCCAAGATTAAGCAGAACTAATAATCTGACGGTAAGCATTGGTGCATCACTAGCACGTATGATATCGTACGTTCCTGAGCGAAACATGTTTCGCTCTGGTGATTCCCACCGATTCGTTCAAACCTCGGCATGAAATAAACTGTCAGATCTTGGCTGCGACCCTATGCGTCCGCCGGACCCGAAGGTTCAGGCACATATGGTTACATGCAACATTAAGTTGGAAACCCCTGGCACGGACGGCGCGTTAATTAATATATGGCTAATGCGGCCCGGAACCCAAGCTTGTTTCCCCTCTTGCCACTGCAGAGCCGTCGCGTTCGGAAGAATACGATACCCTGTCTAGAATAGACAAGTAGATCTTGGACGTATTGAGGGTTGAGAAGCGAGGAGATGCCGTCGGCCAAGATGGGACAAATATGGTAATCTATTGCTGTCGTGGAGATGCGGCAAAGAAATGCCATCGGCCTTCTTTCCATCCTCCTCCGTCCATTGCCAGATGTGGTAGATTCGGGTCTTCGTGACGCTATGATGCCCGGGAAGGTTTAGGGTAGCAATCTGCAACGTGGTCCAAGATGCATCTGCGCGGATGGATGCCCGTTGTTTAGTTCATATAAAACTTGTTGGGAGCTTTGGGGGATGTTGTTGGATGCAAGGACATCTTGCTGTTTAACGTACTCTAGGCTCGAACCCTAACGATGCGGTCTTCGATCCTCGTAGCAGCTTTCGCTACGGCCTCTAGAGCCGCTGAGCTCGACTGGGCCGCGGCTTACGAGAAAGCCGATGCTTCGCTAGAGAAGTTGTCACTGAATGACAAGGTCACCATCGTCACCGGCGTAGGTTGGAATAAAGGTCCCTGCGTTGGCAACACCGCGGCCGTCAGCTCCATCAACTACCCTCAGTTCTGCGCGCAAGATGGTCCGCTCGGAATTCGTTTCGCCACGGACGCTAATGCCTTCGTTCCGGGGATTCAGGTCGCGGCAACCTGGGATCGTGCGTTGATAAGGGAGCGCGGACAGTTCATGGCCGAGGAGACAAAGGGAGCTGGCATCCACGTGTTGCTAGGTCCGGTCAGTGGTCCACTCGGGAAACACCCAGGTGGTGGGCGAAACTGGGAGGGTTTCGGTCCCGATCCTTACCTGACGGGCATCGCGATGGCGGAGACCATCGAAGGAATGCAGAGCGTTGGTGTTCAGGCCAACGCAAAGCATTACATCCTCAATGAGCAGGAGCTCAACCGTGAGACCGTCAGCTCGAACCTGGATGACCGAACGTTGCACGAGTTATACCTCTGGCCTTTCGCGGATGCCGTGCACTCGAATGTGGCATCCGTCATGTGTTCCTACAATAAGATTAACGGCACGTGGGCGTGCGAAAAGTGAGTTTATGATTACCCCAGCTCTTAAGTGTTAAGTGATTATCGTTTCACCGTTCATCGGTTCTCGAGGCGTGTCAGTCGCTGAATATGATGGTCTCGTTTCTTCATAGCTCTTAGCAACAACAGCTCAAGTAGCAAGAGCTTAAGCAACAAGAACTCGGCCATCAATTTCAGTTCAAGATTAACCTGCTTATAGTCCCGAGGTCCTTGATACCATCTTGAAAAAGGAGTTGGGCTTCCAAGGATACGTCATGACGGATTGGAATGCCCAGCACTCTACAGTAGAGGCAGCCGTCGCTGGTTTAGATATGACTATGCCAGGCTCTGACTTTGACGGCGGATCCGTCTACTGGGGTTCTAAGCTGACTCAGGCTGTCAACAGCGGACAGGTGCCCCAGGAACGCCTTGATGATATGGTCCGTCGAGTTTTGGCAGCCTGGTATCTGCTCGGTCAGGACAGCAGCTATCCTTCCATTAATCTCGACGCGAGCGTCCAAGGAACCCACAAGACCAACATTCGGGCCACCGCTAGAGACGGAATTGTTCTTCTGAAGAACGACGACAACATTCTTCCCCTGAAGAAGCCCACCAAGCTTGGGTTGGTTGGCTCCTCCGCTGTCGCCAACCCACAAGGCATAAACGCTTGTACCGATCAGGGATGCAATACAGGTGCTCTCGGTATGGTAAGTTGATACCTGCTTGACTACTTTCTGATCCTGGCCATATTTCGTGTCATGCACAAGACAGCCCGAACACGAGAGCTAACGTTCATAACATTCAAGGGCTGGGGCTCCGGTACCGCATCATTTCCGTACTTGGTGGCACCCGCTGATGCCATCAAGGAACGGGCACAGGCCGATGGCACCGAGATCAGCTTGTCTGCCACGGACAGCACTAGTTCTGTTGGTTCAGCTGTTGACGGTGCCGACATTTCCATTGTGTTTATCACTTCCGACAGTGGGGAGGGATATATCACCGTCGAAGACAACGCAGGCGACCGCAACAACCTTGACCCGTGGCATAACGGCAATGATCTTGTAAAAGCTGTCGCCGCAGCTAGTGACAATGTGATTGTGGTTATACACTCCGTCGGTCCCGTCATCCTCGAGACTATACTTGCTCAACCGAATGTCAAGGCGATCGTGTGGGCTGGTCTCCCATCTCAAGAGAACGGCAATGCTCTCGTCGATATTCTTTACGGCGATACCAGCCCGTCTGGCAAGTTGCCATACACTATCGCCAAGGCCGAAGCAGATTACAGCACCAAGATTTCCAGTGGCGCTAGCGATGAATTCAAGGAGGGGTTGTACATTGACTACAAACAATTCGATCAGCAAGAGATTGATCCCAGATACGAGTTTGGATTCGGCTTATGTGAGTTGCACCTTGTCATCTGTCACTTTATTCTAATGAGTTGTCTACCTGATGCTAACATTCGCATAGCATACACCAACTTCACCTACTCCAACATATTCGTTGATGGGCGACCAACCGCCGGAGCTGCTACAGGAGAAATCATTCCAGGAGGCCCTACCGATCTATGGGAGACTGTGGTGACTGTCACAGTCACGATTGAGAACTCAGGTGAGGTCCAAGGTGCCGAGGTAGCCCAGTTATATGTAGGATATCCGGAATCTGCGGGTGCACCACCGAAGCAGCTTCGTGGATTCGGCAAGCTAGCCCTAGAGCCTGGTACCACCGACAATGTGGCTTTCGAACTAAAGAGGCGAGACTTGAGTTACTGGGACACAGCGGAGCAAGCTTGGGTTGTTCCCTCGGGTAACTTTACTATTAGTGTCGGATCGAGCAGCCGCGACATTCGACAAACCGGTGTCCTTGAGGTGCCATGATCAACCATCCAAAAATTTAGCATGACATATGAGCCTTTATGAAAATTACTTCGTCTTTAGTACCTATAAAGTTGGCATTGTATATAATTACCTACCTTTTGTTGCAAGAGATGCTACATACCTGGCCAAGTTATGGTGACAATCATCAAGTTATTGATTGTATTATCGCTAAACTTTCAGATGGGTGTCGATTCTCTGTTCGAAGTTACAGAAAATTCCTTATTTCCTTCCAAGCATGCCAACTAGTTACAGCTACTGTATCATACTTCTTTCCTCAAGTGATGTTGAGACTTACGCTTAGTCTAGGTCTTGATTCTTTGCTCATCTTTAAAGCAAGGCAAGGTGACAAGGCCATGTAGCGTTTCATGTATCGACTTAGGTACGATGCTAAGGCTTAGATCACGAATTATGAAGTTGAGGCCAGAGTAAATGTATCTGCGGACCAGCAACGTATGGGAGTCTAGAATTAAGCCAACATTAAGCATGCTAGGTAATTTAAAGGAGAGGTGGTCAACCCTTCTACAACGGCCATCCCATATCAGTCTTGCTAAAGTAACTGCATTCATAAAAAGCAAGCAGGCCGCGATATCTCAATGCCCATTGGCCCAGTGGTGAAGGCGTCTGACTGTTATTCAAATAACAAAGTAATCAGAAGATCCCTGGTTCGACCCCAGGATGGGCAGACTAGTTGTTCCATTTGATTTTACTATTTCGAGGGCCCTCTGTACTTTTTTCTACCGTGACTTGCTTTCTATATCATCTTTGATGCTCTCCACTTGGTTTCGGCGTCTGGCTGAAGTCTATTTCGAATTTTGCACCTGTTGTTGATCCATGTGGGCACGATACTCTCTTAACCCAATCACAACGCCAATGAGATAGGGCTTTTCCGTACGGTGGATCAATAGAGCCTCAATCGGCTCGTGCAGACTAAACTGATCTAATGCCTTTAGATTCTCTTTCTTAGCATGGTAACTAGCGGCTTATATCATCATGGTTGGTTGGAATCCCTCAGAGAACGAAGACTTTCATAGAAGCGAGCATGAGGGCAAAAAGTACGAGAGTTACTCCGCTAATCAATAATATCAATTCCGGTCTCCATGAGTCAGTCGAGTGGGCAGCTTGAACAATTCTTGGTTGCTGCAAAGGAGGTAGATGGACACTTGGATATAGCTAGGAATAGAACAGAAGCGAGTCAACCAGATATCGTTATGGTATAGCTTCAATATACCAGCCGCATGAGGAAGCTATTTCTGCTATGGAATACTCATAAAGAGCTACCTAAAGGCATAGAATGACCCGTAATACCGAATTAGACCGAATAGCGATCGTTTCTTTATGATATGAACGAGCTAAGAGTCTATACCTTGGTTAAATGTATCCGCAACGCCGATCTGAAGAAACCACAGTGACTAAACTACGACTAGAGAAAGCTGGAATTACCATTTACTACTAGTTACATATATCTAAGCGAAATGGGTTAGTTAGTTGGGTATGTTGATATCGATAGAGATGACATGCATCGGAGGAATGACGACACTCTTGGTGAAGTGTGAGGCATCCATCTCATTTGTTGGTCCATGGAATTCTCTTACTTTCTAGATACAAAGTAATGCAAACTGACTTCTATCGGTATTTAGAAATGCTTGCTTACGAGTTTCAATGACGAGGATAGAAAATAACTAAAATAATAGAGTACCGTGAAGGACGTAACCTGAAGATGGGATAGTGGAGGCGACGCTATTCAGCTCATTCAGCGATCGACATGACTACTAGATATGCTAGGTATACCGTAGGTACGTACGCCTGCAAGCGCCAGGTAGTTCAAAATCAAAATACAGTGTGAAGAATAAAATACGCAATAGCTAACTTAATGGTAGCACAAGAAGATAGAGCGGCTCACCCCGTGGATCCCCCACCATTGACGTCTCTGGCGTGGCGCCTCTCGAGTCTCGGCGGTCTAAACAAATCTCGCATGAGAAGGAATTCTTGTTGAGCACTTCCCTACGTCCCCAATTCAACACATCACAGCAGGCCCGATGCTGCAGAGAGCCCGAATAGGCCACCATCTTCTATCGTCGATAAGACGGTCCTTCTGTTCCAAGAATCTACAAGAGACCATCAGTTCTCCAAGATACATGAATAATTCAACCGCAACCCCCGAAGCTTGGCGCGCCATGTCTCCGTCTGAAATCTCCAACTATCTCAAGCAGACGCATGACCGCGTCTTCGAGAACAACCGTGTCTGGGCGGAAGAGCAAAAAAAGCGAGATCCCGAATTCTTCTCGAAGCTTTCCGCTGGTCAGACCCCCGAGTACCTATGGATCGGATGCAGCGACTCACGAATTCCTGCCGAGCAGATCACGGGCTTGGGACCAGGTGAGGCGTTCATACATCGCAACATCGCCAACCTGGTTGTCAACACCGATCTCAATGTTATGAGCGTCATTAACTATGCCGTTCGTCATCTGCAGGTCAAGCACATCGTGGTGTGTGGTCACTACGGTTGCGGCGGTGTCAAGGCGGCCATGACGCCCAAGGACATGGGACTGCTGAACCCTTGGCTCAGAAATATTCGGGACGTCTATCGACTACACGAGGCGGAGTTGGATACAGTCAAGGATGAGACAGCCCGCTATAACCGCTTGGTCGAGCTCAGCGTGATCGAGCAGTGTCGCAACGTCATCAAGACGGCCGCCGTTCAGCAGTCATACGCTAAGAATCAGTTCCCTATCGTTCACGGATGGGTATTCGGATTTGAGGATGGTCTGCTCAAGGATTTGAAGGTGGACCACGAGGCCATGTTACATAGCATTCAGAAGATCTACAATCTTACGGATTAATGATCCTTCGCCAAGTGTGGAGGAGCAATTGGCGTTGGGGATGTTGTTTGATTGGGATACAGGCGAAGCCGAGGCCGGCATTGCCTGCTAAAACCAAACTTGTAAGAGTACTGGACGGTACATAGTCCTGCACCAATCGAGATGAATTATCGCTTAGAAGTAATAAGTTACCTGCCTACCACCTAAGTGCATAGATAGGTATCTAGGCAGACTTCTACAATTCTTCATCGCTTTCGCCTCGATCTTCTAGCTCTAGTTGTGCTGGCTATGCTCATCTGGCTATCATCGTTGCATGTTGCGACAACATTAGATCCATCCCGTTCGTCACTTCATACTTCGTCAGGCATGAAGTGAATTAAATCCCGACCTTCTCCAGCGACGACGTGATCAAGCATAGATCGTGATGCTGACACGAATGCGCTTTGCGGCCATACGTTCCGACTGATATTAAACCAATCCGTAGTAACCAATTGCAATCGGCGTGGACGCCTGCACGAAACCTCAAGATTTCAAGACGGTTACGGATAACGGATAACTGAGATCCTGTGTCCGGTCCATTTGATAGTCTGCGATCATTCGATCACCCGGTCTCTTCGTTACCGCTGTCAGATTCCCAAAATCCGTGCTCGAAGCTCTTCTTTTGTCGAAAGGCGAATCGTTCCCAGCTTACACCTCTCCTAACCTTGGTCCCATCCTTTTGTATCTCATATCGTCGTGGTTCGAAATCCATAACGGAACGCCAGTTCTGAATCATTCGACGCCAATAGCAAGCCTCAGCGGCAGGAGTAAGATAGCGATCTCGAAATACTTTAGTCGACTCTTGGGCGATACGTCGCGCTCGGTCGGGATCCGCTAGGAGGCCGTCCATCTGTGCTTTTAGGTCTGACCAATCTCGATTGACTTTTACATAATTCTGACGGCCAATAGTTAGTGATACTATGTATGCAACGGGCGTGTAATGGGTGTGCAATGTGCAATTGTGCAATTGTGCAAAACAACAGACTAGCACGTACCTGATGCGGTCCACTATCCTTCAGAAGTGGTCGGTAGTGGAATACATAGTCTAGCTTGTGGATGATAGGGACGCTGTTGCAGTTGTGCAGATATCGCAATCGACCACTCCAAGAGTTACCCTCGGTATGCGCGACGTACTTGTACCGACAAAAGTCTCGCATGGCTAGAATATTAGATCGATCATGCCAGTCGATAGCCTCGACGTCGTTCCAATCGTACCCCTTTGCAGCATCCACCAATGCGGTTCGCAGCTTTTTGTTGACCGCCAGACTTCCTCGCCAGCATAATTTCTCTTTTTTGTCATCCCACCCGTTTCGATACTCGGTCTCCAGCTCCTCCACATCCTCGCGGTACTGCACGTACGATCCTACGCCGTCATCAGGATAGCTCCATCCGTCGAAGTCGGGCATAACCCACAACCATGGATTACTATCTTGACGCGCCCAAGCCCATCGAATTCGTTTAGGGTCTTTCTCGCCTCTCGCTGCTCGGTCTTCGATATCGATGATGAACTCGACATTGGGGATCGATCGAGGGTTCGGGACGGCGGATAAGGCACGATACAAGTTGGCGAGAGCAGCAAGACCTCGGGAACGATCTGGCTCGCCTTTCTTTTCTTCAATCACATACAATTCGCCGTTCGAGATCATGACGTGGAACTCTCCGTGCGGAAGACCGGTGTAGTCATCCTTTTTGTCTAGCTGGAGATCGGATTCCTTGATACGTCGGTTCTGTTCTAGGAAGAAATCGCGGGCGCGGTCGAGTTCTTGGAATAAATCGGGGAATGCAATCTGTCGTAGGATAGGTCAGGATGCGACTTTAAGATGCGCGATGCTAGATGATTTGCGCATATGTTGCAAACGTCGTAAACGTCGTAAACGTCGTATACGTCGCATACGTAAGCGCATCACAATACTAACCTTGCACTGATCGTCTGAGAGACCATAATTCAAACCATCTCTCTTCACGTCGAATCCCCAAGATTCCTCCTCTCCAGATGGCGGCGACGGAGGTGTGGCATGTGTAGGCGGGTTGATAGGCGCTTCGATTGGAGCTTCGATTGGCGCTTCGAACAACGGATCATAGGCGGGCGATGCGAACGGTGACTTTATATCGCCGACGAGTGAAAAGACGAGTACGACGACGACGATGGCCAAAAGTAGCCAGCGAACACGGCGTAAGAGAAGAGCCATGGAAGACTCCCCAGCCGAGCCGCAGGAAAAGAAGGACTTATTGGCAAACATTGTTAATAAAACGATCGTAGATGGCTTAACCAAGCAGTTGAGAGCCGCCGAAGCGGGAAAGGGAGAGGTGCATACCTTGTCAAAGGCGGAATGGCGTCTTATGTATCATCACTGCAAACAATAGAAAAGAACCGGTTTATTTTCATAGATTGGATGTTGCCCTTGTGTCAATCTGGTACCACTCTATCTCGACTGGTATTGGCTAGGGAATAGATGCGGTAAGAAGATACGATGGATAGAACGGATGGCTGCATTGATCAATCTAGAAGCACAGGGTGGATTATCTAGGAGGTAAGGAGGGTAGCATTGCATACTATCCGGCGTCCGTTCGCAGTTCCTAGGCTGCTATGTCACCTATTGTTTAAGATAAAGGGATGTAAACGGGGACGCCCTAGTAAGAATGAAGGATCTGAGGCTGGGATGAATTGATCTATGTAAAAGATATCTATCAGTAATCCAGTGAAGGTCCAACAAACGAAAAAAAAATCAGCAAGGATTATATGGTGCGATGAGCAAGCACATGTAGTCATTTACAGGGGTAAGGTATTGGGCCTTAGCTGTTAACTGTCTTGATTATGTATAAAC